AATATATATATATACACATATATATGTATATATATATGTGTATATATATATATTTTTATGAAGAGAGAGGGGGACGCATATATAGTCATATATTTTCCAGTTTCATTTGTAATAAAATATAGTTCATTAACGTTGCAAAGTTTATTTTAATCATTCATTTATTATTAGCCAGTAATCAAGTCTTGATTTGCTATCTATCTATTGTAGGTCTATGCCTCAGCCGTTGATGCGGGCCTATCTATCTATTGTAGGTCTATGCCTCAGCTGATGATGCGGGCCTATCTATCTTTGGTAGGTCTATGGTAGGAGAGTACCGGAAGTCCCGCCCTAAGCGGAAAGCTCGCGATTTTCTTTAGCTTCCACGCAGTAAATGTGACGTCATCGCGGGGCGAAACAACAACATCGGCTGTGATCGGTTCCGGTCCAGTTTGTAGAGGCCCACAGCAAAGATCCGAACCCAGGATGTCTGCGGGACCCGGAGGCAGGAACTCGGAGCCGTGGGGCGGATTCGACGAGCCCCTGATTCAGGTAACTCCAACCGGAACCAGAACCAGGCCCTCCATACTGGGAGGTTCTGGATCCTGCCCCGGCAGACTGGACTGAGTCGTACCAGTCCTCCCAGTAACCTGTAGACCAGGTGTTACTGGGACCTTGTCAGGTCGGTTCTCCTGAGGAAATCCAACCAGCAGCTCCAGCTCTAGAAAACAGCCTTTCAGTTCTGTTGTCCTGCTCACTGTAATGCCATCAGTCGTATCTATGAATGCAGCTCTATGCCAGAGCTCACCAGGTGAAGCTAAACAAGCTCTAAGAACCGAAGCGTAGAGAATCAATTCCAGATGTTCTAAAACTCTGCAGCTGAAAAACGGACTTTATGATCTTTGGACCTGATGAGTAAACCACCCACAGTCAGTCATTATGGAACCATGAAGCTCTGGGCTACCGCTGGTGGAACACTGGAGATCAGAGGTTCCGCCGGTGGAACCCTGAAACTCCGAAGTTCTGCCGGTGGAACCCTGAAACTCCGAAGTACTGCCGGTGGAACCCTGAAACTCAGAAGTTCTGCCGGTGGAACCCTGAAACTCTGGGCTACCGCTGGTGGAACCAATGAGCTCTGGGGTTCCGCTGGTGGAACCTTGAAGCTCCGAGTTTCCGCCGGTGGAACCTTGTGGAACCCTGGAGCTCAGAGGTTCCACTGGTGGAACCCTGATGCTCTGAGGTTCTGCTGATGAAACCCTGAAGCATTGGGGTTCCGCTGATGACACCCTGGAACTCAGAGGTTCCGCCGGTGGAACCCTGAAGCTTCGAGGTTCCGCCGGTGGAACCCTGGAGCTCAGAGGTTCCACTGATGAAACCCTGGAACTCAGAGGTTCCGCCGGTGGAACCGTGCAGCTCCGAGGTTCCGCCGGTGGAACCTTGTGGAACCCTGGAGCTCAGAGGTTCTGCTGATGAAACCCTGGAACTCAGAGGTTCCGCTGGTGGATCCCTGAAGCTTCAAGGTTCCGCCGGTGGAACCGTGCAGCTCCGAGGTTCCGCTGGTGGAACACTAGTGCTCAGAGGTTCTGCCGGTGGAACCCTGAAGCTCAGAGATTCCGCCGGTGGAACCCTGGAGCTCAGAGGTTCCGCTGGTGGAACCCTGAAGCTCCAAGGTTCCGCCGGTGGAACCCTGAAGCTCCAAGGTTCCGCCGGTGGAACCCTGAAGCTCCAAGGTTCCGCC